GATGCAAGTCCTGGATTGAAAATGGTGGTAACATTAGTCTTCTTGACATAGAAACCTCAAAACTCCATTCTTCCTATTTCTTGTGCTCAGAACATTTTACAACTGACCAATTTTACTGGATAGATCGTAAGACACTTCTACCTAATGCTATTCCTTCAGAATTTGTGAGTGATCATTTAAGTGAAGAACAGATGGTCTTGTACCCTAATTTAAGCCAATCTGAAGTGCTGCTGGGTAATTATTTTCACTCTTTGGATAGAGTTACATACTTGTAGTGTGGCATTTGATAATCTGAAGTAAATTGTAAATTTCAACCTTTTACAGCTTCACACCTCTTTGCGCCTGTAGTGGGCATCAATAATGATGAAGAAAGCATTGAAAACATTAGATCTACCATAAGCAATATTTGTTTTCAAGATCGACTTCAAATTGACTTTGAAAATTACATGAAAACCTTAAAATGGGTAACATGCATTACCTGCCAAGAAAAGTTCTGTGTACCATCAGATTCACAAGTTAAATGCCAACACGGAAAAAAGAACTGCAAATATTATTCACGAGATAATGACATGGACCCTCTTGATGTCCCAGAAGAATTGAAGTCTTTATCTTATGTAGAAGAGCAACTCATTGCATTAGTTCATCCTATCATTTCAGTGTTCAAATTGTGTGGCCATCACCAATATGGTTACAGAGGAAATATTATAAATTTTCCTCAAGATGTGAAAAGTTTTGCCAAGAGTTTGCCACACAAAATTGATACATTGTCATCTCTTATAACAGTGCGTACTGGTGACGACATCAAACCTGTTGACTTCCACGTTAGAGCTGGTATGTTTGTTCTTTTAATTGTTAAAAAAACACCTTTGACTTACATAATCAATAATTTTCTATATTTGAACATTTTCAGGAAAAGTCAGAGATGCATTACTGTAGTTGAAACAAAACAATTGCTATTATATTGATATTGAAATAAGTGAAGAAAATTTGGCAACACTTCCCACTGATGGCAATGTGTTTGATCAAGTCACACGTGTTATCAATGTTAACCGTGACGAAAATGTGGATGACCCAATGGAAATGGAAGATGAAGATTATGTGAATACTGTTATAGAAACATGTATACCATCCATTTCTCCACCAACTTCTACGGATAAGGCTGAAACTATTTTAAAGTGGCCTACAATTGGCAAAAATGCACTCAATGAGTTTAAGACACCAGGATATATTGCTATGGCTTTTCCCACTCTCTTTCCATATGGAAAAGCAGATTTAAAAAACCCAAGAGAATTTAGTATCACACCTAAGCAATACTTCAAACACTTAATGAACTACCATGATGGATGATTTGCAAAGCATCCTAGATTTAAGTACTTTGCACTAAACTCAGAGATGCGCTGGAATGCATTAAAACTTGGAGGTGTATTTGTAAAGAAAAACTCTGAATTTCAAGACATGGACTTAGAAAAATTGAAAGAAAAGTTACGAGAAAACCCAGCTTTGCTCAAGAAAATTCTGTTTTATAACTCAAGCCTCCGTGGCACTCGATCATACTGGTATGCTAGAGGCCAAGAGTTGCTAGCCATGATAGAACAATTAGGATTACCAACCCTGTTCTTTACTTTGAGTGCTGCTGATCTGCATTGGCCAGATCTGTTTCACAACATAGCTCCAGATGAAGACATAAATACGATGAGTGAATCAAGTCGTAGGAAACTTATTGAAGAAAATCCCTTGAAAGTGGATGCCTTTTTCTTAAAACGTGGAGAGAATTTTATAAATCAGGTATTGAGCTGAAAAATATGTCA